GCTCTGTGCCCAATGACCTACAAGATGCCTAATGACCGGCATGTCCAAGGGGTCATACTGTTTCACGGTCCTGGGTCTTTGAACCACTTCATATCTGGACTGTTCTTTTTTCCCATTACTCCTTTCACTAAAATCCCTTTATTTACTCAGTTTTTAAGATACAGCTTAAATCAGGAAACTATTCTGATTCCCCCTATGATCCCAAACTTCAATCTTTTCCTCTATCGTTTATATTTGCCTCCATTATAGCTACTTAACTCTACTGTTTGCTGCATGTCTTTCTTTCCACTTGGACTATAACTCCATGAGGGCAGGCTTAGTTTTATATGTCATATCATATTACATATCATAGTATGTACATAATTCTATTTCTGGATACTACTCATGGTTGGCAGTTGCATATGTTAGTTGACTCACTGACTCACTGACTATATAAAAATGCAAGAAACTTGAAAATGCCTGACATCGTTTGCCACTGGGTTGACAGATGCTACTCATTATGTTGTGTTTATTGTAGCTCAAGCTATCATACTGAGCATGATAACTCAGATGAGTGAAGATGAATGTATTCAAACTCTTGAGAAAAATGTGCTCTGGAAGAACATGGTCAATTTATCACCTAAAACCAATTCTTAGATCATCACAGGGGAAATGAATGGGTCTGACAGGAATGGGAAATATTTAAGGAAAAGTTGATTTAAGAAGGCTTCATGAATGATTAATTATAGAGTTTAATATCGGTGGGAGAGAGTCTTACTGACATTTAAATAAATGCCAACAAAACAAGGTGCAAATTTGCCATAGCAAATAAAATATCATCAAGGTATTTGTTCTGAATCATAATTACATACAAGTGGGAAGTGCAACTCTGAAATGTATGCTCATGTTAGGTGTGACTCATTGGCTGAAGTCTTAGATTTTGGACACATATTTTTATGTGATAATTGCAAGTCCTGCTCTGCAAAGGTGAGGTGTACTACCTCTCCTTTCTCTGGCCTCCCAGCCCACCTGCAGTCTACCGCTTTCTGGTTTCCAGTTATCTCTACTTTAACTGACACCTTTTCACAAAGTCTCCAGTGACCTTCTGATGAACATATCCAATGGCCCCAGCTTACTTGAATCTATTTAATCTATTGATTAAATTGCTATTTATTTACCAACCACACTGTGTTCGTGTTAGGCACTGATTTGACATGTGGTAATAAAAAAAGGAAAGGCCCCTTCCCTCCCAAAACCAATCAAATAAACAAAGCAAAACCCACTAAGAAAATCCCCAAAAGCACGCACATGTGTGCACGTGCACACACACACACACACACAGAGGAAACAAAGATGAAAGCAGAAACCAAGCCAAACAATGACAAACTAAACAACTAAACAGCAACAAACTAAACTATGAAACAGACTTGTTTCCTGACCTCAAATATTCTAGTAGGAAAATTAAATAAATAAGCACAGAGATAAACATTTAATTAAATTGTGATGAGTGCTATGAAAAGTGAAGCACATGATGTTCTGAGAAATGATAACAAGGAACCCAGTTTGAATCAAGGATAAAGGCAGAGCCTCTGAAGAAGACATCTGAAGGAGGAGAAGGGAGAAAAAGTCCAAATAGAGAGAGAAAAATAAATAATAGTTTGGAAAACATGTTTGCTTGAACACCACATGAAGAATATGAATCCTGTTTGGCTAATCATTCCGCCCCAGCAACAGATGAAGAGGGAGAATTGTTCACTATCACAAATAAACTAAGCAGTCATGGGGGTAAACATGATACAATCAAAGACAAAGCATTCTGGAGCCATATTATAAAGCAGATAAGAGAGGGACTAGCTTGCAACATTTCTTTTTTTTTTTTTTTTTTAGGTAATTCAGGAAAAAAGAAGAAAAAGCCAAATTGCTTAAGAATGTGGAGAGGATTATGCAGATACTCCAGCAGATGGAAGGAAAGAAGTTAGGTCTATGTTGAGACACTGATTCTTGCTACATTCCGTCCAACATACCAGGGAATTTCTGGGAAGTTGTTTTCCCTTCTGACGTACAGCAGACATCCCCTTAGTCCTTAATGGTACATAAATGTAGGGTACATCCAAGGCCTCAAGTTTGGGGAAGATGAAATCGTTGGCTGAAAACTGTTTTCTTCGTCTAGGATTGCAAACAACAAGGATGAAAGAGAAACTGATAGTCTTTGCAGAAACGAAGCTTCCTTGGTGTGGTTAGTACATGTGATTAAAACAGGAACTGCAAAGTGTACTCACCACCCTGTTTGGACTTTTCTGGATCTTTGGCACTTTCATTCCTTGTACAAAAACAGGGGGAAAGTCTTTCATTCTCTTTTTAAAAATTTAAAAAAATTCCTAAGGTAATAATTCTCAACCTTGCCTACACATCAACTTTACCTTGGGTCACTTCGAAAACTCCATGTGCCTTGGAAGCACTTCGAGACTTCCTTGTCAGTGTGTCTGGGATGGGTGTAGGGATCAGTTTAAAATATCTTCCCGATTGATTCCTGTGTGCTCCCAAGTTTAAGATCTATTTTAGTAAGCCTTTATTTATCTTCTACCACTTTTTACTTTTAAAAATAATCCATTTTTTTCTGAAAATTAAATAAACATTGAATAAACCAACCCCAAACTTAAATAAGCAGATATCTTAAAAAGGAGAAGCTTGGAAACTTCCAGTAGAATGTTTGTAGTCTTACTGTCCTGTCCTCAACAGCCTGCCTTGTAGGTGGTGATAAGTAGCTGGGCCACAGGTCCTGATACGCAAGTCTGGTTTTGGCTGGAGAACCTGGTACGGTTTCTCAAATATTCTCACTCACCCCAGCCTCTGCACGACTCTAGATGTCTACACCAGTTCTCATTCTAGTATCCTCTGCCTTTGACAGATCACATGCTCTCATCTGGCCTTCTGAAAATTGGGCCCCTGGAGTCATAGCGGCTTCCCTCACTTGCCATGATTTCCCTGCACTTTGTTCTCAGTTTCCTCTAGCAGACGCCGGCATAGGTACACAAGCCTTTATCTGCAACCCTTGGGGCTGCATGTGTCCTGAAATTCAGCATGTCTTAGGCTTTGGAAAGGTAGATTCTGCATTCCATGTCTTATGGACTTCTCTTGGTGTGGTGAAGCAGTACCCTGTAATCAAACACTTGCCTGTTTCTTCAGGAAACATTGGACTACTCCCAAGAAATAGGATGAATAATGACTGCAAACAATCTCATGTCTGTTCAGTTCAAGTTTTGCCACCAAATAACTTTGCTAGAACTTTGTGAATAAAAACCTTTAGTTAAACCCAGAGAGCAACGGAGACCTGTGGTAGCAGTATTATTTAAAAATTGTTTTGCAAGACTGCCTCTTCACTGACTTTACTGGTTTTTCACATTGCTTATAACAGAAACATTGTAACATGAAGTTGAATGCATTTCCATTGTTGGTTGCTTTCTGAGTGTTAATACTTTCCGTTTGGTCAAAATGGAAACCCCAGATAACCCTAGATTTTTTGTTGGGGGAGATTAAAACTAAAATAGATTGAACAAACAGACCTTTAGAAGCTGTTACCATTGAACCCTGGTGACTCAAGCTCGGAAAAGGAAATAGCTGATTTAAACCTCAGGTGAGCCATTTCACCCATGGTCATCTTTATAACTCTCTTCAGCCTTTAGACGTCTTTCCCTGCTCTAATTATAAGTTATTTAGTCTTCACAGTTGTAGTAGCTGAATTTCTGTTATATTGGCCTTCCTCATATCTGTCAGGACATGGGTCCAGGGATTCCTGTGGGGGAGGCAGGCATGTTGTAGAGATAGAGCTGTTAAATATCATGTTACCTCATTGTTTTCATTGACTGGTGAGGCCCAAGAGAACTTTGAGTCATATGCATCTATTTTCCTATTAGATTAGCTACTCATTAAGAGTGGATTTTCTTCCTTGTGTGCCCCTTAGATCATGTGGTAAAGATCATGGGTGGTTTAAAAAATTCTAATTTTTAAAAAATAGTTGATAGTAGAGTTTCCTTTGGGAATAAGTGGTCTTAAAGGAAGAAAATACCTTGAAGCAATTGGGTATGAAAAAATAGGCCCACTGTAGAATGCAGAGGGTGAGGGCAGACTAAATGGAGGGTATAACTACTTTGTATTTAAAGGAAAAAAAACAAAAAACTGGTAGTCACTGAAGGGGACAGAAAGAGAATTGCTGAGCAATGTGGAAAATCAGTCAAAAGACTTTCTAGAACAGAATGACTATTAATAGCAATTGTGATGGATCGGTAGTGTAATCCCCATCTATTACTTAATTTTTCTAAACTTTCTGTAAAGCCTGCTACACAGAGGCTTTGTGTGCATAATTGTGTGAGTGTATCTGTAAAACTGAAAAAGGTAGCTGAAAAACCCACCCAAAAAAGAACAAGTTGCAAGATGCTGAAAGGTCGTTGCTGAGCTGTGAAAGATGCTGGGATTCTCGGCCTCCAGAGGAGAGGAAATCAATCAGGGCCTAGTGATGAGGCTTGATTGCTCAGAGCTTTTGTGAAATAATGTTTTATTAAAGTATAAAAGAGATGGAGAAAGCTTCTGACATAGACATCCAAAGGGGGCAGAAAGAGTGCCTCCCTGCTGGCCTTTAGCAGTATGTTATACCCCTATCAGCAAGCTGTTAATCAGAGAAAGGAGATGTCTCAAAACTCAGTGGCGGCTCAGAAGCTGGGGCCATGTTCTCTTGTGAATTGTTCTGTGGCCTGCTCTCTCTAATGTGAAAAATAAGAGAACACACAGCAGGGATAGTCTGCAAAGAGAGTGGGGAAACTGAGCACCAAACCCAGGATGTGATTAGCGTATCAGCTTCATCTTGATTACCCACTACAGCTGAGGAGCAGAGAAAGTGAACAAAGAGCTCGGAAAAGGGACAGAGAAACAAGAAAACTCTTTCTTCTTTTTCACTGCAGCTGTTGCAGGTGAAAGAGCTGTGTGGATGCTGTTTTCTCAATACGTAGATGTGTTTTTCCTGCATGATGTCCCCAGAAGAGACACAGCAGGAGGAAGAAGAGGAGGAAATGGCAGCTTCTCAGGGACGGCTGACATTCCGGGATGTGGCCATAGACTTCACTCAAGAGGAGTGGGAATGCCTGGACCTCGGTCAGCGGGAATTGTACACGGACGTGATGGTAGAAAACTATAGGAACCTGGCTTCCTTGGGTCTTGTGGTCTCTAAGCCAGACTTGGTCACCTTTCTGGAGCAAAGGAAGGATCTCAGGAATATAGGGAGAATGCAGACAACAGGCATATTCCCAGGCTGCAGGATCCTAGTTCCTCTTGCTCCTGGTGTCTGTCCCCTGGTGGGTGAGGTTGGTCCAGAGGTTTGTGTGCTTACCCCCTTGATGGACTTTTGACTGCTGTTTCTGTGACCCGAGCCTGCCTTGGATATTGAGGGGAGCCTCCCCTTGGCTCTGCGGCTGTCACCGCCCTGTCTGTGGTGGGTCTGTGCCCTGGTTGGTGGAACAGAGCCCCCAGATCCTGACCTGTGTGGAGGCAGGTGGGATTGGAGCACATCCCCAGGAGAGAAGCCTCTGAGGATTGCTGCTCTGGGGATGTTCCCCTTGGGATGTGCTCTGTGCCTCACTTTCACCCACAGGCTATATCTCCTCAAGACTCCCAGGATTTGATGCCAAAGAAACCAAGTGTAGAAGATTTGTTCCCAAAAGCAAACCTAGGAATATATGAAAGATTTCACCTCAGAAACGTGCAATTAATGAAAGACTCAGAACATACAAGGGCGTGTGAAAGACAGAGAAGATGTTTACATGGACATAAAGAAATTGAGACAGTTACACATAATGCAGATATTACTGTAGAAAGAAATGAGCTACTTGAGTCAAATTGGGAGAAACACTCATTTCAGTCTTCAACATCTGCTGAGAAGTGTAATTTTTTCAGAAAAAATTTACATCATTTTTTGAAACATAGTTGTTCTCTGAAAGGAAATGTGGAAAATCTGGAAGGTCCTCCAGTCTCTACTGTAAATACTCATTCAAACCACTCTGAGCATAGGCTTCGATTCAACATATATTTAAACATGTCTGAAAACCAGAAATCTAAAAATGATGGGAAAAACTCACAATATAATCAATTTGAGGGATCTGTGATTAGGAAGTCATTATTCTTCCATCAACAGATATTTTCTCTCCATTCCAAGGTGTATAATGTTGATGATAATGGAAGAGATGTAATCCAACCAGCATTGTTCAATACATCCCATGATATGGTTAATAGGAAAGAACTTTCCATGTGTAATAAAATGAGTCAGACCTTAAGTAAGACCTCCAGCTCCAAAAATTACACAATTATTTATGATGGAGTGAAGGTCTATTCATGCAGTGAACCTGGGCATAACTTTGAACAAGACTCAAACTTTATGGAACATCAGGGAGCTCAATCTTCACACAAGGATTCTAAAAGTAGTAAATGTAAGAATATCTTTTATCAAGCATCAGATCTTTCTCTAAATAAGAGTATTCATAGTGGAGAGAAAACTTACAATTGTAGTGAATATGGTAAAGTTTCTAATCAGTCTTCAAATCTGATTAAACAGCAGAGAATTCAGAATCCACAGAAACATTACAAGTGCAATAAATGTGGGAAAGTCTTCAGTAACTCATCTAATATAAGCAAACACAGGAAAATACATTCAGGAAGGAAACCTTTCAAGTGTACAGTATGTGCCAAAGCCTTTAATCAGAATTCAAATCTTAGTCAACATCGGCAACTCCATACTGGCAGGAAACCTTATAAATGTAAGGAATGTGGCAAAGTGTTTATCTATTTCTCAACTCTTAGTCAGCATCAGCAAATTCACACTGGGGAGAAACCTTATAAATGTGCAAAGTGTGGCAAAGCCTTTAATCAGATCTCAAATCTTACTTGACACCAGTGAATTCATACTGGAGAGAAACCTTATAAATGTAAGGATTGTGGAAAAGCCTTTAGCTGGCGCTGTGGTCTTACTCAACACCAGCGAATTCATACTGGAGAGAGACCTTATAAATGTAAAGAATGTGGAAAAGCCTTCAATAAAAACTCAAATCTTACTCAACACCAGCGAATTCATACTGGAGTGAAACCTTATAAATGTAAGGATTGTGGCAAAGCCTTTAGCCAGAGCTATAGCTTTACTCAACATCAGTTAATTCATACTGGAGAGAAACCTTATAAATGCAAAGAATGTGGAAAAGCCTTTAGTCAATCCTCAACTCTTACTAAACACCAGCGAATTCATACTGGAGAGAAACCTTATAAATGTAAAGAATGTGGAAAAGCATTTAATAAAAACTCAACTCTTACTAAACACCAGCGAATTCATACTGGAGAGAAGCCTTATAAATGTAAGGTTTGTGGCAAAGCCTTTAGCCAGCGCTATGGTTTTACTCAACATCAGTTAATTCATACTGGAGAGAAACCTTATAAATGCAAAGAATGTGGAAAAGCCTTTAGTCAATCCTCAACTCTTACTAAACACCAGCGAATTCATACTGGAGAGAAACCTTATAAATGTAAAGAATGTGGAAAAGCATTTAATAAAAACTCAACTCTTACTAAACACCAGCGAATTCATACTGGAGAGAAGCCTTATAAATGTAAGGTTTGTGGCAAAGCCTTTAGCCAGCGCTATGGTTTTACTCAACATCAGTTAATTCATACTGGAGAGAAACCTTATAAATGCAAAGAATGTGGAAAAGCCTTTAGTCAATCCTCAACTCTTACTAAACACCAGCGAATTCATACTGGAGAGAAACCTTATAAATGTAAAGAATGTGGAAAAGCATTTAATAAAAACTCAACTCTTACTAAACACCAGCGAATTCATACTGGAGAGAAGCCTTATAAATGTAAGGTTTGTGGCAAAGCCTTTAGCCAGCGCTATGGTTTTACTCAACATCAGTTAATTCATACTGGAGAGAAACCTTATAAATGCAAAGAATGTGGAAAAGCCTTTAGTCAATCCTCAACTCTTACTAAACACCAGCGAATTCATACTGGAGAGAAACCTTATAAATGTAAAGAATGTGGAAAAGCATTTAATAAAAACGCAACTCTTACTAAACACCAGCGTATTCATACTGGAGAGAAGCCTTATAAATGCTATGATTGTGGCAAAGCCTTTAGCCAGCGCTATGGTTTTACTCAACATCTGTTAATTCATACTGGAGAGAAACTTTATAAATGTAAAGAATGTGGAAAAGCCTTTAGTCAATCCTCAACTCTTACTAAACACCAGCGAATTCATACTGGAGAGAAACCTTATAAATGTAGAGATTGTGGCAAAGCCTTTAGGCACAGCAGTCATCTCACTAGGCATCTCAGTGCACATACTGGAGAGAAACCCTCATAGTGAAATAAGTCATGGAAGAAGTTTGTCCTAAACATACACATCGGAAAACACGAGACCATTTATATAAGAAAGATATGGAATGATGTAGAAATGTAAAAGAAAAAAAAATGTAGAAAATGGTTTAATGAAAAATGAAATCTAAATAAATACCAGAAAATCCATACTAGAAAACTTTACATCAATCCTGTTTTCTGATGTTCATCTTGAAGAGAAGTACTATAGGTAGTAATCAACAGTTAAAACGTATAGAAAATTGATATGTCAGTGTGGATCACAAGATGAAAGGTTGATGTTTATAAAGGTACAATTATTAGCAATGTATCCTTGTTTATACTGACATGACTTGTGATTATTTGAAAATGAATGTAGTTCAACTATCTACTTACTCCAAGGTATGATTCATTTCTAGTGTGCAGGCAAACTTATGTTTTTGATAGTTGGTACCTCAAAGATGAGAGAAGCCCTTCTATCTAGGGAGAAATCATTTATATGTATTCTCCATTAGAAGATTAAGGACACAGTAATGTAACATGTACAGTAAACATCTAAATGGTGGTGTTTGTCATTCATGTCACACATCCCTGTAGGTCGCCATGATGTAAGTGTTCAGGGAATAATTCCACATACTAAAGATGTAAATTATTAAGTTATGCTTTTAAAGGTTAATATAATGACAGTTCACTGAAATCTTGATGTGTTTTAAAATATCAGCAGAAATTATGAGTGTTTAACATATTTCAAATAACTTCTGATACCCTAAAATGTATGGGAAACCCTTCCCAGAAAATTCCTGTAATTATTGTAAGTCTTCTTTCTTAAATGATTAGCCTCCATTTTGTAACCATAGAAATCACAGTTCTCAGATCATTATATCAGAGGAATGAATATTGTTTATGCTTGTAATCTGTCTTTTAATCAAAGTTACACAATGGAGTATAAAAGGCTTTATTCTGACTGTGTGTGATGTTCATACATGTTAATCAATAAAACGGAATGGCTTCTTGTGGTAAAGTTGGTGTGAATGAATGAAGTGTTAACCTACCAACGCCATTAACCTTTCCCATCTTATTTAAGGTTGCAGGGAAGAGCACATAACAGTGAAATCTTTGGTAGCACAGTGGGATGGCATCTGTAACAGTGAGTAGTTTCCTTACTGCCCTTAAGCCTCAAATCATTTGATCATGTATTTCCCATCATTTCTCCATTGTACTTTTCCCCTCTCTGTAACCGCAGGGACACTGTGATGGTTCTAATAAGAAGGATCATACAGAGCACTGTTGAGAGCTCCCCTGAACTGCTCCATGCTGTTGCTGCCTCAGCATCTGTCTGGGGAGCAGGCAGCCTGCAGGTCCTTGAACTCACACCAGCCAGTCCTGTGAGCACCTGCCCTAGATCACCCCCTTCCTTGAGACCAGCAGTCTTGCTGAACCCCAGGGTCTACTTCACAGGCGCCCCTTCAATGACACCCTCAGAGCTCACCAGAATCCTGCTCCTCTGGTTTGAATGGACCCATCCACACTTAGCCTGAGGAGCCCACAGCGCTTCATCCAGGGTCACTTAGAAAAGCCTGAACCCCAAATACTGGAACTTTCTCTGCCTGATTCTAGCCTTGACCTCCCTCAGAAGTTCCCATTCTAAATCCTCCCCTACAAGAGAGGTCTCAGGTGTGCTGAGTGGGAGGGCTTGAGCTCTGGGTGTCTGAATGTGGGTCTTGGGGAAGAAACATCAGAACATATAGGAAGCCTGGTAAAGACTCGTTTCTGCACCTCAGACCTGCAGATTCATAGCTTCTTAGAGTGGGGCCCTGGCCTTGAGTGATTTGTATTCACTGAAATGATTCAGCAAGAATCCTTAGCCAAGTGGTTTCCATCTGTTTCCCATCAGGGTCACGTAACCAGTGTCAGGAAGTGGCCTCCCCGGTGCCCTCCCCACAGAGTTTTGTGTTGGTCCTGTGCGGACGTCAGTGTGGTTTGTAGGAAGTGCTCCCGGGGATTCTGAGGGGGAGCCCGGCTTAAGAACATGGCTCCTGGTCCATTTGTGAGAGCTGAGGCCCAGCTTCAGTCCGAGGAGAGGCAGCAGCATTGGTCTAGCTGGATTTGGACCAGGGAAGTCAGTCAGCTCACATGGTCTGTGTGAGCAGAGGGTTAGGAGCTCTCTGTGGGGAGTGAACAATCAAGAAGTAAATTCACAGGCTGGTCTCCAGGTAGGAAGTGATTGTTCCTGACTCTCTCCTGAGACAGGACAGGAGAGGTGGGTCTTTTCAGCTTTTCAAGGTCCTTCTGTCTAGGTGAGGTGGTTGCAGGTTAAAGAGCTGTCCGGATGCCTTTGAAAATATCTCAAGACACAGGTGTGAATTTGCAACATAACATCCCCAGAGAAGACAGAGCAGGAGGAAGATGAGGAGGAAATGGCAGCTTCTCGGGTATGTGTCCTGTCCCAGGTCTGGGGCTGTGTCTGCTTTTCCTCCTGAAATTCCTGGACTGAGAATCTGCAAACCTTTACTTCTCTGCTTCTAATATTTCTGCCCGGGGCATTTGTTATCAACTTATTTTTTCCTTTTTTTCTTATAGTAGTGAAGACCGGCTCTTTAGACTACATCTCCCTTAGTCCTAGAGTCTTTTCTGCATTGTCTGTATCCCGGCTTTCTATGGAGTATGACTGATTCTCAATATGAATTAATGACTCTAACTGGTGAAAACATTTCCTTTGTGTGAAAAATCCAGGGAGGCATAGGTTCTGAGAATCCTACTGGGATGTGCTTCAGTCTTGGGATCTTAGAGAAATAGGGGAAAATTAGTGATGAATTTACATGTATGATTTTGAACTGTGGTGTTGGAGAAGACTCTTGAGAGTCCCTTGGACTGCAAGGAGATCCAACCAGTCCATCCTAAAGGACATCAGTCCTGAATATTCATTGGAAGGACTGATGCTGAAGCTGAAACTCCAATACTTTGGCCACCTCATGCAAAGAGTTAAGAATTGATGATTTTGAACTGTGGAGTTGGAGAAGACTCTTGAGAGTCCCTTGGACTGCAAGGAGATCCAACCAGTCCATCCTAAAGGACATCAGTCCTGAATATTCATTGGAAGGACTGATGCTGAATTTACATGTAGGTGCAACTTCAGACATTTAGAAAAGGATTAAGAAAATGTCCTTATAAATAGAATTACCTCAGCGGTTCAGAATTCTACAGAAAGTTTGGGGAAAAGATAGAGAAGAAAACTGTGAGACACTCTTATCTATATTGGCAGGAAGGACTCATGCTTAACTGTACTTTTAACATACAGAACATTGGAAGTTATATATGAAGAGAAATTTGCATAAAACTGATTTTTTTCAGGAGAGATTCAGATCACTGCTAACATTTATCCCATTACACCTCATGTCCCATTGGTTCAGGTGGTTCTCTGAGATTCCAACACTAAATGTTCATACTTTTTCTCTTCATCTTTAATAAAAATCTTTGAACGATTTAATGAGGAGTGTGAATAAGCTGCCACAGTTAATGAGAAATCCGTGTTTTTCTCTGTTTGCTTTGGAAAAATGGACACTCACCTGTGTTCAGTAGGGTTCTTGAGTTTTGTGAGTTTTCATTACTTAAGCTCGGGTCTGATTGTTTCCATTTTTAATATACTCAGCACTCATATTCAAACTACTGCACAATTGCACTCATTTCACAAGCTAGCAAAGTAATGCTCAAAATCCTTTAAGTTAGGCTTCAACAGTATGTGAACTTCCAGGTGCCCAACCTGGGTTTAGAAAAGGCAGGGGAACCACGGACTGAACTGCCAACAAGTGGATCATAGGAAAAGCTAGAGAATTTCAGAAAAACATCTACTTCTGCTTCAGTGACTATGCTGAAGCCTTTGACTGTGTAGGTCACAACAAACTGTGGAATATTCTTAAAGAGACGGGAGTATCGGATCACGTTAACTGCCCCCTTCTAAACCTGTATGGAGGACAAGAAGCAACCAGACATGGAACAGTGGACTGGTTCAAAATTGGGAAATGAGTATGTCAAGACTGTAAATTGTCACCTTGTTTATTTAACTTATATGCAGAGTACATCATGTGAAATGCCGGGCTGGATGAAGTACAAGCTGGAATTGCAATTGCCCGGGAAAATATCAGTAAACTCAGATATGCAGGTATCACCACCCTTATGGCAGAAAGCAAAAAGGAATTAAAGAGACTCTTGATGAAGATGAAAGAGGAGAGTGAAAAAGCTGACTTAAAACTCAACATTCAAAAAATGAAGCTCATGGCATCTGATTCCATCACTTCATGGCAAATGGATGGGGAAACAATGGAAACAGTGGCAGACTTTATTTAACACTGTGGACCGTGACTGCAGCCATAAAATTGAAACGCACTTGCTCCTTGGAAGAAAAGTAATGACAAACATAGACAACATATTAAAAAGCAGAAACAATACTTTGCCGACAAACGTCCGTATACTCAATGCTATGGTTTTTCCATTAGTCATGTATGGATGTGAGAGCTGGACAATAGAAAAGCCTGAGCGTCAAAGAGTTGATGCTTTTAAACTGTGGTGTTGAAGAAGACACTTGAGAGTCCCTTGGACTGCAAGGAGATCAAATCAGTCAATCCTAAAGGAAAGCAACCCTGAATATTCATTGGAAGGACTGATGGTGAAGCTGAAGCTCCAATACTTTGGTTGCCTTTTACGAAAAGCTGACTCATTGGAAACGACCCTGATGCTGGGAAAGATTGAAGGAAGGAAGAGAGGGAACAACAGAACATGAGTTGGCTGGATGGCATCACCATCTCAATGAAAATGAGTTTGAGCAAAATCCGGGAGATGATGAAATACAGGGAA